ACTTTCCACACTCCTGTTGGGGGCTAAGAACACACTCTCTCCCAAAGCCTGGCCTTCATAAGTCTATTCCATCACAAAAACACTGTTTTAGCCAATGATCACCTGAGGTTGCAGTCACCCCTGGAAGAAAGTGCATAAGTTTGCTCATATCAAGCTACAAATCTTTAGCCACCACCCTGATTTTGATTCTGTCTTTTCCCCCTTCTTCAATTCAGACATTCGAATGGACTGGGAAAGTTATAACCAAGATAAAGATGATGACAAATTGATAGATCTCTTGGTGTTTTATGGTGAACCGTTTCCAGTCAGGGACACAGATGGCAATGAGATTGATGTCCTCTGGGAGGCTGACATCACCTCTAAGAAAATGTCTTGCACTTCAGGATCCTCCTCACAGTCATCAACCAGGGAGAACCTGGTTAGTACATAAAGTCTGTTTTAAAAGTGTCATTTTTTTCTTCTTTTAAGGGATTTCCCCCAAAGGAAGGTCTCCTTAGAATACATGGCATTTCTGCAAGAATACTAGAATGGGCAAGGCTTCTACAATTCTCAATTATTCTAGTTACAATATAGTAGGGGTAGAGAGAAAAATGATTTGAGCTTTTAGTCCAGGTGCAAAAAGTGCACTTTGGCAACAATCCTTTTATTGTTTTTAGCAGTTGAGACCATCATTCCCTGTGGTAGTTTTGGAGGGCACTGTGAACATACAGGCTTATCTTGTTTAAAACAGAGAGAAGTTGGAACCTTCACAAGTCACAGGATTGCCATTCTTTCAGTCAGCTGACCCCCTTCCAAGTGGGGGCAGTACTTCCTTTGCCATATTTCCCTCATTCTCAGTTGGCTTTGCTTTCAGTGATGCCATCACGTTCAATTGGCTTTGCTTTCAGTGATGCCATCACTTTCAGTTGGCTTTGTTTTCAGTGATGCCATCATTCTCAGTTGGCTTTGCTTTCAGTGATGCCATCAAATAACAACTGTTCCAACTTTCCCCAACGTGGCACACTTTAGGTAGATTGAGGGCAGAATAAACAGTCAGCCAAGTCCGTGTCTACCAATGTGTCAATCTTGATAAATTGGCGATCAATTTTTAAGAAGAAATTATATATATATATAAATGATGCTGTAATAGCAGCTGAGAAAGGAGGGGGGGGATGGAGATGATGAATTTGATTTACACTTGCCTTCATGTTCTGACAAGCATTCAAGACAGTAGCTAACAGAATGTAAAACAAAACAGAATATAAACAATTAAAATACAGATTAAAACTAAGCCTGGCAAAAGAGATGCTAGCAGACTAATGGGGAAAAAAAGATATTCTGTGTTTTTACAGTGTGCTTCAGGTGCTCTGGTACTAAGTTTTCTAGAATAAGATTCATAACAGAAACTGGTTGTAATTGGTTTCTGCCTACCTTCGTTGATACTTCGATGACAGCCATTAAAAGCAATTAGATTGTAGCTGTTGTACTTTATTGATAGTAGCCAGAAAAGGAGTAATGCCACAACCCCCCGGAGAGCTCCCCTCTTGCTGTTTTTCTTGCTGTGTCAAGGTCCTTCTTGCCTAATCCTGTGGCTGGTGGAAGAGCCATTTGCTCCATATAGAATCTCCAGGGCACCACTTTAACAGTAGATTTCATCAGTAGTAGGTAAAATGTTGGTGCTGTTGCAACAGCGAAAGAGATCGACGTGGTTTGCTTTTTGTCCCTTAAACTGTGATGTACGAATGCTGCTTGTTCCATTCCGGCCTCTGGAGCGTGGCAAATGACTGTGCAGCAGTATCAGTAGTCAGAGGATCTGAGGACCAGCAGGTGTAAGAGGGTTGCTCCCTATCCAAAAGCTACCAGGAACCAGTTTGTGGAGGCTGTTTTCTAGTAGCTTCCAGGTAGGAATGGGAGATGGAAGGACTGTGGTTCTTCCACTTGACACGCAATGCTTAAAAAGCTGCCTCACCATCAAGGGTGAGCTTTGCTTCCTGCCCACGACCACCTCTGGGCTTGAAATTCCAGCCTTGACTATGGTCTCCAACGTGCAAAATTCGATCCACTTGAGTTATATCCATGCAGTTCTCAGCAGACATTCCAAGCTTGAATATACTTATGCCTGAATCACCTCTTTAAAATATAGTGCATGCTTATATTCATGTAACAAACATAAATTTCTCTCTTCCTCTTCCTCCTTTACATCCATTCCCGTAGAAGCTGGAGACACTTTTTGAGGACGATGAAGAAAGTTCTGATGACTCATCTTGGGAACCACTGACACTCAAGCCAATAGTCTCAGTGGTCCTTCGACCTCACGAGGGGGTTCCCTCAGACTACCCTTTCTGCATCACTCCCAAACAGATTGTAAGTTGCAGCTCCCTTAACCCAGGCGAACTTTGTAGGTAGGAAAAGGGACTTGAGGGCTGGGGAATTCTGAGAGTTGAAGTCCACACAGCTTAAAGCTGCCAAGGTTGAGAAACACTGATCTAGTGGTTGGCTGTGTTCCTGCAATCCAGCTAGGGTAACCCTTCCCATCGGTGCCTCCTCTGAATAGAAAAAAACCTCTTGTTTCCAGTTCATCCCTGCAGGTGGCGCTGCTGCCATTCACATCTCCTTCACTCCTCTGATGCTTCCGGAAATCATCCATAAGTTTGAATGCGAAGGTTTTGCCCTTGGCTTCATGAGTCTGGACCAAGAGGTACATAAAGCATTTCCATTCGTCGGGAATTTTTTTTCTTTTCTTTTCCCCTTTCTCTCTAGAGAATCAGGCTTTTCTGTAGAAGGGGGTAAACAGTGCTGAGCCATGCAGAAGCTTCAAAAATCAGGCAGTGGCACCTTATAGAGGTGATGTACAAAATATTTATATCTCCCTTAGGTGAGTCTCCCTCTCTGTCCCACACCTCTGCATCACAGACTGATCTGTTCATTGGAGCTTCCTCTCTCTTTAGGAAGCATTTTCAGGGCAGCAGTGGTGGAGGGGAAGAGTTTTCATTCCATTTCCCCAACCTGGTCACATGTGCCTATATCACGATCCAATCCATGTTTATTACATGTCTATATCCAATCCATGTCTATTACAACTTGATTTACAAGGAATCTGCTATCAGAATCGAAGTTCTTTTTACCAAGTGCATGTGATTTTGGTAGCAGATCCTCTGTAAATCAGGTTGTAATAGACATGGGTTCTCCAAAGGGGGCTGCTGAACGAGCTTTAGGGATCTGCAGAAGAGGTGGGCAAGGAGCAGCTTTGCTGGTAATTCTCCTGACACTTTGATATGGTCCCTGAAGTCCTCTCCTTGTTTGATGGGCACCAAATTTAGTCAGAAAATTACTTGCTAACCAGATTCCATCACTCAGCCTTTTACTGTCAGTTGCTTGGATGTCTTTGAGATGATCAGATTCGAGTAGGGAAGAACACTGAACATCAAAAAGCAGTCCTTACCACCTTTACTGACATCAAGAAAGCATGTTGTTCTCTTTGGGGTCTGCATGCTGCCATTTTAAGAGAATGAACATTATAGAGTTATGGAAAAGGAGCGTTTCCTATGATTCTTCTTTTCCAAATTGGTTGTAGCTCATTTGAAAGGAAGAAGTAGACTTTTATCCTTCACAGTAATAGGTCACCATAATAGCATGTCTAGTTCTTTAGTTCTCAGGAATAATAATAATAATAATAATAATACATATTTATATGTTGGAAGAACTGAGTTATCAAAATAAATTGTATAAACTGAAAGTGAAATATTGCCCATCCCAATCTAGTTTCATCACTGTTGACTTTTCTTCTCCCTCAGATTGTTCGGAAAGTCCCTGGGAAAGTAACTCGTGAAGATGGGCACTCTGTTGCCCCTCTGAGGATTGATTTGCAAGGATTCGTCAAGCCTGCTTTGTAAGTCAATTCTGGGTGCTAAAGGGGCATTTTCTGAAATATGAGCGTGCCTTGGGTCAGTGATGATAGTGTGAATATCAGGGAAGAAATTAGGGCCTTTATTTGGCACTGGTGAGACTACACCTGTACTGTATGCCATTATGATTCTGGGCATCCCGTTTCCAGAAGGTTATAAACAAGTTGGAGAGGGTACAGAGGAGGGAACAAAGATGACACAGGGAAAGAGAGGACCTGCCCTGTGAGGCACAGGTTGAAGGAACTTGGGATGTTCAGGGTAGAGAAAAAAAGATGGAGGGGAGACAAGATATTGGTGTTCAGATTCATAAAGAGAAGCTACCTGGAAGATGGTCATTACTCTTTTCCATGGCCATGGAAACTAGGATCAGAAATAATGGATATAAACTGCAGAACTTAGATTTTATTTCTATAGAAGGAGAAACTGTCTGACAGCAAGATATGTGCGCGGTAGAATAGTCTACCCACAGACGCTCTGGGTTCTCCAACTCTGGAGGTGTTTAAGGAGAGGCTCGGCAGCCACCTCTCATGAATGGCTGAATGGTTTCCCGATTATACTGCAGAGGTTGGACTAGATGTTCCTTGTGATTCTTTCCAGCTCTACAGTTCTATGATTCTTGCTGTTCTCCAGTGCCTCCTAAACTACCTGTACTTTGAAGACTAGTTCAGTGGTAGAACATCTTCGGGTAAAGCTGGAAAAGTTGTCAGAGTTAGCATGGCTGAGCTGGATGACCCCAGCAACTTCAGCCTATATAAGTCTCTTCTGTCCTAGAACATGGTCACTTGGGTCATTTCTAGGAGATGCACTGCAGAGAAGGGTTGTTGATTCCACTCCATCCCTTGAAGGATGATTTCATTCACTGAGAACCCTGGTCGCCCGCAGATGCTGATGATGCAAAGCCAGAGTTGCAGGGTTGGTGCAGGATTAACTTTGGATCTTTATTTTCACTTTCAATCTTTTTCTGGGCTTTGAATTACTGTTCTTCCTTGCTTGAGCTTTCCCGTTGTATTTGTTATCATTTTACAGTAAGTCACAATATTCTGCTTTCTTCCTGTAGGTTGACAGTTGAAATGGCTCACGAGAAAGGGTTGGTGTTTCATGCAGTGGCCAGCAGTCTCATCCCAGATCCTCCCCTCAAGGATGTAAGTAATGATTTTCTGCTTCTGAAATCACCAAAATGGTTGCATTTCTCAGAGGAGAAAAGGGGTTTTTTTCTCATACATTTGTTGTTTGGAAAAACATCATTTTGGAAAGGTCACACCCAGCTCAGTCCAGGAACACACTAAAAGGAAAATGCAAATACATGAGGAGTGTGTAAATGAACATGAGGCCACTGTTTTATGTGGAACTACCCTGATTTATTTCTAAAATCACTTAATTGTTCACAATAAATTAGCCATAAAATAATCACTGAAGATGTAAACAAGGTGGGGAAAACCTGTTGAGCTTAGCTTCTGGAATTCTTTCCAGCCCCTTTACCAGCAGTAGCCAGAGGAGGCATCTGTATTGCTTCTCTTTAACAAACCAGTTGTATATGAGGGTGTTTGTGTGCATATGTGCCCTGGAAAATGGGGTGGGCTGCATATGCTCTGCTCTAGGTCATGTGGCCAGGAGGGAAGGAAGGGGGCTTAGAATGGTAGAGTTCTAACCCCCTTGACATAATTTTTTCAATATTCTGTTGGGTTGGAAAGAATCAAAAGATGCTATTGGCAACCTTCGATCAAAGCAAAGCCATTTTCCCCAACTTTCTGCTTTCCAACAGGGGCTGGTATTTCCCAGCTGTTTGTCCTCAGGGCATTGGATCAGTTTGTTTGAGCAATAGAAGGCTTTATACATGTTCTGGGCATAGAGCTTCCATCCTCATCCCCACCTCCCTTATTCCTGCTGACTAAAGGCTCCACTGAGCTGAGGTTCCACAACCACTGGAGAATCACATGCTGATCTAAATAATTGGGGAAGATATAGTACTTGCATTAACATTTTGATTATGTCCTGGGGCGGGTGGAATGTAATTGAGGGAGTTGGTGGAGAATAGGCTCGGAGGCTGGAGCCCAGAATCAGCCAGTTTGTTGCATTACCAAGAATCTTGGCCTTCCTGAGATCAGTTTATATAATTCATGGTGTTTGGTTGGGCACGGACAAGGACCTGAAATAGGTGGAGGTTACAGGGATACCCTCAACACCTGCTTATGCTTCTTCTGTAGAAGCTCTCCTGATACCTCCTTCCACCTAGTTTTCCACCATGCTGGAATCTGTTCTTTGAATGCAGTCTTTAGGTTGAGGTACTATATCTAAAGCAACTCATTTCAGCCAAAGTCCCTTCCTGCCCTTGCAGGTATCTGGAGCTAATACAGGGCTGTTGCAGCTTCCTTATAAGCCGGAGTAGCCTCACATCCGTCTTCTCTCCCCACCCCCATTCCTCCCAGATCTGTTTTGTAGTCAACTGAAAACAGAACTATTGCAATTAATGCATGTTTTATTGGAGGCTCTTCTTGGACCCCAGCCTGGTTGTTCCCATAATGCTCCCTATTGTGATGCCATCTCAGATATAAATTAGTTCAAAAATTCCAATAATTTGTACAGGGTGGTATGTTTGCCTACTCATTCTGATACTGCAGATGGTTTTCCGCCATTTGAGGTATATCCCTGTATCCAAGTAAGAATCAATAATAGTGTCTGCAGCTAAAATAGCCTTCTGTGCCCTGAAATTTCCATGCCCTGGACCTCAACTCTCATCACTCCTTATCCAGCAGCTGTCAGATTGCAGTATTTTGGGTTTTGGAAGTCTCAGGAAGGGACTAGGTCAAGGAAGGGTGTCTGTCCTAGGAGTGGTCAGGTATCCAAAATGTGCTGATATCAAATCAAATGGTGTTACAGGTTCTACATATGTTCTCCTATAGGTGCTGACCTATTCAGCCACCACTCTGAGCGTGAAACTCACCAATCACACCGAGACACCTCTGGCGTTCAATCTTATTTTATCAAATCCCTTCTCCATATCTGGCGTGGACCCCCCCAAAAGTCTGAAAACGTCGCAGAGCGAGAAGGGTGAAAGAGGAACACACCTATTGCTTTATGCGTTAGAGAATATGTTGGTACGGTCTTGATCAAGGGACAATGGGCAGCTCAGGAGTGCAGTGGGTTAGTGGATTATTGTTAGTGGATTATTATTGTGGGACTAATTCCCACAAATGTAGGCCATAATCTTAGGAGTTAGGTCCACCAGGACTGGTTTTTCAAACTGGGTTCCATGGAACATGAATGGGTTCTGCAGGTCAAAGAGAAAAGAGATTTTCTGCAAGGGACTGAGGCTTAGTCTCTTTTAGAGGAGTATTTTTCCCTCTTAGGTGCAGTGAAAAGAGCAGGTTTTGTCAGCTGACATTCAGAAGCCCCACCCCACTTGATTCTGGGAGTTGAAGTCCACACGTCTTCAAGTGGCTAAGGTTAAGAAACATTGTCATAGACTCAGAATTATAGGGTTGGAAGGGACCTTGGAGGTCTTCTAGTCAAATGTTTTGTTTGTAAAACATGCCAGTAAGTACATAGTCAGTTTGCACACTAACAAATTGGCTAAATCAGCAATAATCCAATTGCCTGTGGGTTTTTTTTCCAAATCTCAGGCACCCAACCAACTTATTTCTGTGCTTTGCCTGTTTTTATCTGGTGGTTCCTAGGTGAAAGTGTCATTTCTCACAAGCTTCGAATTATTAACCTACCAACATCTTCCAGAGGACCATCTGCCATTGGGGCTTCAAGTGATCCAGCATGAAAATGGGGAGAAAATCCTGGAGTTTAGACAAGAACTTATCATCGAGTACAGCAACAAAGCTACACAGGTAAATGGATGGAGGGAAGCTAGGAGCTGTCAAAGTAATTTTTACTTGGCCAAGTTCACGCAGAAGACAAATTTAACAGAAGGTGTCAGTCCCTTAAGTTGTATCCCATATTCCTTTCACTTTCTTGCACATCTTTGGACCATCCATGGGAATCTTGGAAGGGTTGGGGGGGCAGAATCTCTATGAGAATGGGCCAATAAATCATTGTTAGCTGCTGCTCCTCCCCAGCCTTCCATAAATTCATCTTCCTAGGTGTATTCTGGTTTCATT